TGTCTTTGGACCAAGTTATCACTTCCCAAACACAAACAAGTGACGGCAGGACAGTCCCCGGCAGCATAAGAACAGGTGAAATGGAGGTAAACTATAATATACAGATGGGAACAAGGGAGAGGACTCAGAATTGAGGATTTTAAGCTTAAGCAAACTGGGACCCATTAATCTGTAAGCTACAAGCATTCTCGCAACAGCCACCCCTGCCAGGTGCAGCCCTTTTGGCTCCTGTGGAATTCTACATCTCAGAACATGGGAGAAGGTTTTATTGAGGGGTCAAAGCTTCGAACGTCAGGACAAACAAGAGGAGAAGACCGAGGTATGGGGCCTCCTTTGCCTTCCTATCACAGAGACGAGACGATTGTGAGGACCAGAGAGCTGCTCTTTTGTCTTCTCATGTAAAACGTTTAAAAGCGATTTTATCAATGGGTGGGGGGATGGGGAGTATGGGGTGGGGGAGAATAGAAAGTCTCTTTAGTACTCTAAAGCTGAGCCACTTGTCCGGGACGTGAATAGCCAAATCTCGTGGACCATCACACTCTTCATGTCCGTCATCAATCATGAGAGTAAATAATTGAGTCTGGGGACAGCTTCTCCGGCTGAAGAACGGGATGGGACAGGCACAGCCCATAAATTTCCCGAAGCTCACAATGAGTTCCCAGGTCACTTAAAGTCAGTCCCATCAACCGCACAGTAATCACTGGCCAGCAACAATGGAGGGGAACAAGGCAAACACAGTTGTATTGGTTACTTTACCTGTTGCTGAGACAAAATGACAGATGGAAGCAATTTAAGGAAGAAAGGGTTTTTTTTTTTTTTTTTTTTTTTTTTTTTTTTTTTTTTTTTTTTTTTTTTTTTGGCTTGAGGACAGTCTGTCATGGCGAAGCCCTGGTGGCAGAAATGTAAAGTGTCTGGTCACATTGCACCCACAGGAAGCAGATATAAGTGAGGCTCAGCTATCCAACATCAAGGTCTCCCCACAGTGGCCCCACCTACACTAGCAAAACTCTATGGCTTAAAGGTACAACCACCTTCCAAAACAGTTACCATCAGCTAGGGTCCACATACAGGACGCTTTGTAGGGCATTTCCTGATTGGACCAAATTAGCCATCTTCCTTGTTAAAATTTTAGGAGCAATTCACACTAGGAGTCTGAGCCACGGTTCCAAAAGAAACACAACACACAAATATGGCAACTGAGGCAAGTGTACTACAGAACAACGTATAACCGTGTGGGCTAGGCTAGCTCTGCAGGAAGGAGCCACCATTCTTAAGTCTTAAACGGTAAAGGGGGAAAGGTTAGCTACCCTCTGAGAGAGCTATAACCATGCTTCAATATGTTTGGTATAAGGACCCAGCTCTCTGCTGTCTAGCAGGGAGGAACCTGGAGGAATGCTCTGACCTCATTTTTCTACCCTCTAGTGTCCATCCGCTTGGGTTCACATTGGCCAATGCCAACAATAAGGCAGAAGGAGAGAGGAATAGTAGACACCTACTCCCCTTCCCGTGCCTAGAGAAGTTACATCTCTAGTACACAAGGCCTAGTGGGAAAAAGCCAGAATGGGTGTGACAGGCAAGGGGGAAATGGCCACACACAGTGAATGGCAGTGGCAACCTTTTAGGGCACAGCTTCAGGAGAACAAGGGAATTGAGGACTGCAGGACTTGGGGTGGCTAGGGAGAGGTGATGAACAAGGAACAACTTTCTCAATACACATGAAATGGAACACATTACAAGAACTGTCTTTAAATATCCTGGGGACAGGAAAAGATAATGATTCCTACTTTAGGGGAAAAGGCAGAATATTTATCCTGAGGAGCAGAAGAATTCAGGATAAAGAGAGAATGAAGACAGATTGACCCCACTTGGGAACACAGAGCATTTTGAGGAGGAGCTGTCTATGGGACATCGCTGTCCCAGCCACTCTCAATTATAAATTCTAAAGAATTTCCCTGGTATCAATTCTCAGTTGAAAACTTTAGGAATGACAGTGTTTGGATTTTTAAGATACTGTGAATCTCGTTTGTGATATCTTTTCATCTCTTGTTGAAGAACCTGACTGATAATTACCATGAACCAGGGAGGATAGAATCAAGACAAGTGAAGCTGGAATGTTTAGCCCTGATAAAAACCTGGAGATCTCAGGATCACTGGGATTGCTCACATACTGATGCACCAAAATACCAACGTTCACCATCAAATTTGCCTCTTCCTAGGCCCTCATGTGTTTCTCTCCTGTTCAAAGGCACACTCTTCCTTGAACATGCAATCCACATGAGTTGGAGACATTCTGGAAATACCCACTGCCACAGGTGTGGAGACTGGAGCGCTTTCATTACAAGGGTCCAGCTCAATGATCAAATAACATCGAATCTTCCCACATTTTGATCCATGTGCCAAAAGTCAGAGAACGTGAAAAATAAACAAATCACCATAAACCTTAATATCAGTGTTTTCCTTTCCCTTCCAATACTAAAGCAACAATGTAAAGGTAGGAAGTGGCAGTCTGCAGGCTTCACTTAGAAGCCTTTAAGTTCAAGATCGGCCTGAGCAGGAAGCCTTAGCTCAGCCCGCCCTGATGAGATGCTTTCCTCGCTGGCACGTCTCTCCCAAAGAAGCGGGAGACTAATGTCAGCCAAAACCTCTGCAAAAAGAAGCCTTCAGACTAACAGGTTTTCACAACTATTCTATACTGAGGGAAAACATGCTGCCCCATAAAATTAAACGACTACCCCCCAAACTCACTTCCCTATAAATTATAACATTAACTGCATTAAGGTAAAATTGGAATTTCATGTTTCCTGAGGTAGCCCTCTTGTTACTAACTCCATCTTTACTGGAATAGCCCATCTGCTTCCAGAGTCCAGGACTGGACTAGTGATGAAATAAACTGTAAAACTGCCCAAGGAAAGGGCAGGACAACTAAGGGCAGCTAAATGCATCAGGAGGAAACCACAACTACTCTTAGGAGAAATAAATGTGTTTGCAGTTTAGCAAGCACTAAACTGCAGGAATGCGAGCCATTCTAACCTCACAGAAGGTGGCTAGCTGCATTCCATTTCTCTGGAGTAAAGATCAAAAGGGAAAAAAATTAAACACTTTAATGAGTTTGGAAGTTAGTGGCTCATATTAAGTCTGACAATAACTATGAATTGACTATAGTCTCACTAATTGAACACATTCTAATACAGTCCTTTTAACGTGGGGTTGAGAGTCAGAACCGTGTTTCTGAGTTTAGACTTTGTAGTGAGAACTCAGCCAGCCCCTTGAAAAGGAAAAATCCCGAGAAAAAAGCAACATGACAACCAGCCTGGAGAGACGGACCCTATGTGAACGAAAAAAGGGAGCGCTTCTGAATACAGGTGGGCTGTGGCAAGATTTGGGTTATTTAAACTGTGAGAACACTTGAAGGAGAGACACTGTTATGAACCTACGTAAACCAACATGTTAAATTTGCCCCGAAAGGCAGGAGAAGAGATGCCTACCATGGTAAACTGGTTGCTTTGTACAGGGTGGATCCAGTCAGGGAAAAATACCATCCAAACACTAACACCAAGAACACCAGGAGGTGCCAAGACTCCCTGAACTTTTCTCACGCAAAAAATCTGTCTTTGTGCCGGGTGATGGTGGCGCACGCCTTTAATCCCAACACTCGGGAGGCAGAGGCAGGCGGATCTCTGTGAGTTTGAGATCAGCCTGGTCTACAGAGCTAGTTCCAGGACAGGCTCCAAAGCCACAGAGAAACCCTGTCTCGAAAAACAAACAAACAAACAAAAAAATCTGTCTTCGTGAGGATTTCTGTGCTGCCACAGGACAGGGACCTGGAGAAGGGAGCTGATGCAGAGGCCGTGGAGGAGTACCCCTTACTGGCTTGTCTACCCTGGCTTGCTTAGCCTGCTTTCTTAGAAAACCCAGGACCACCCACCACGGGCTGGTCCTTCTTCCATTGATCACTAATTGAGAAAATGTCTTACTGCTGGATCTCCTGGAGGCATTTCCTCAGCTGAGGCTCCTTCCTCAATGATGACTCTAGCTTGTTTCAAGTTGACCCCAAACCAGCCAGTCCATTGTGCAATCTCTTCGGAAAGCTTGGAGGCCACTAGTGGTTTTAAGTGTATTTTATGCCTGGAAGAACTGAGCCCACAGTGTCTGGATTTGACACTAAGTATCTTGCATATCAACCCCCAAGCAGGTAAACGTGTGGTGTGGTGCATTGCACATCCAAAGGAAGTATAGAACAACCAAAGAATCAAAATATGCAGGCTTGGGCTTGTCGCTCTGTGGTTAGAGCGCTTGCTGAGCACTCGGGTGACCCTGGTGTTGATCTGTGCACCGTGTGAAGTGGTGTGACGCCTGCCCTTGGCCTTGATCCTAAGCACTTGGAGGTGGAGGTCGGAGGACCAGGAATTCAAGGTCATCTTCAGCCTGGGTTTCTAAAGACCCTTTCAAAACAAACAAGGTGTGTGTGTGTGTTTCCCCTGTTATAGTGTGTGTGTGTGTGTATATTAAGTTATATGTAATAGGTGCTGTTTCTGTTTTTTTGTTTTGTTTTGTTTTGTTTTGTTTTGTTTTTTTGCTATGGAAATTTCAAACATGGGCAAGAGGAGACAGTGTTTTAACGCCCTCTCTACAGCAATCCCAATTCCATCCACCTCCCTCAATATTTTGGAGTAAGTTGCAGACTGCCAGCTCCATCACTAGCTAAATTTGCATCTCTAAAATTCAGGTCAGCTTTTCCTTCTAAAGACCACAATGCCATGGTAAGACTTTTAAAGGTTACAATTTTGCTTAAGACCAACTATCAATAGCCAAAGTCCCAGTCTTTTATCCTTTCCCAGATACAGTTAGCCTTCTGCTTCAACACTCTGAATTGCTTCTAAGTAAATTTCCGTTTTCACTGTAATTCGAGCAGCAGGTGGCCTCATCCGGCCCCATGAGTGGGCGGGGCCTGGGCTCTGGTTCCGTCAGCGACAGTGGGTCCCACCCCGGTTGCCTAGGCGACGAGGGCTGCTTCCTCTAGCGGTAACATGGCTGGGTCGTCGGGAGCGACCCCAGGGGCGATGACCCCAGTGACTCCAGCAGGCAGCACAGCTGACTCTGAGGTACGCACCCCCTTCCTGTCCCGGACTGGGTCCTCGACTAATGCCGAGGTCACTCGTTGTCAAGGCCACAGTCACCAGAAAGGCGGTCACCTGCTAGTTGCCTGTAGGTCAGGGAACCGCTCTGAAACTCATTACACACCCTGGGGGCTTACAATGGAAAGTTCCATGCTCGCACAGCCTCACAACCATGCAAATAGTCAACTAAAACCAAAAAAAAAAAAAAAAAAAAAACAGTAATCTCTGATCTTAAAGGGGACCAATCCCTTTCTGTAAGTGCCACTGATTTCGTGAAAGGTTGCTGTTGTGACCTGAGTGGCTTGGTTTTAGCATCTGTTGTCACCAGGCCCTTTGCCAAGAGGCAGGACCAAAAGACCCTGAACTGAGCATCTGTTTCCGTCCCGGGCTCCCTGGTTCATCATGAACTTGTCCGTGGTGTACCAGGGACCTCTTGTGTAAGGTCTGTCCTGTTAAAGCCCCTCTCCTAGCACCAAGTCTCAGTAGGGGTTGGGGGAGGCATTAAGTCATTTTGCCCATAGGCTTAATGTCTTGAAGATCTATTTTTATTGTATTTTTACTGATTTGTGAGTGGGCGAGTGGTTGGGTGGGTAAAAGCCTGAACGCCATTCGTTGTTCAGTGTGGAGGTCAGAGGACCATTTGGTGGTGTCCATGTGGCTCCCCGTGATGAAGCTCAGGTCTTCAGCCTTGGCAGCCAGTGCCACCTTGCTGTGCTGAGATTTTTAACCACAAGGGAATCAGCTAAGCCATGTGTGAATTTTTTTTTTTTAACGTTTAAATCTCCTCGCTGAGTCTATCAAATACTGTTTCTAGGATGTTATTTTTCCTTCCTTTTTTAACAACTCCGAGGACTGAATAATGAAGTGTTAATTAACATGGCTTTGTTCAGCCTCCATATTAGTCTAAACAACACCGTTTATGCAGAAGATAAGTGCTCGGTGCAGTCTCCGCAGTCAGGAAGCGCAAAACCAATGGTTTCACGCCTTCCTCTCTGACAAGCAAGCCAGTCCCTCCTCCAGGTTCCCCAATACTGCAGGCAGACCGCTAAGCCTCCAGGCTCTCCTATGAGCCCTTTGAAATAAAATTATTATACGTTAAATGCACATTTTGACGTGATAAACTGGGTTCCAAGCCCATCCCTCTCCCTTGTGATCACTAATGTAAGTTAACATAATTTTAAAACCAGCACAGGAAACTTTCCCATTAAACTTTGTGTCGTTTGAACATATACAAGAACTTCTAAGACTGTATAGACTCCTTGTACACAGACTACCATACCAGTGGGTATAATGTCCCACTGGTATGTCCTCTCTCTAAAAAATAGCTAGTAATTTCAAGTTTAATGAATTGGTATTTAAAAACACGTGTGTGTATGTATGTACATATATGTGTGTGTGTATATATATATATATTTCAATAGCTCAATCATTTTGTTATTAAGTAACTGAAGATATCCAGTTGTAACATGGGTACACTTAGCAGTACTCTTTGGCTAACAGTTAACATACAGAGAGGTGGACTCTCCATATTTCAACCCTATAAAACAGTTATAGGACATGCCATCTGAGCTGTCTAGGGACTTTGAGGTTAGAAAGAAAACACAGCAAAAGACACCTTTGTACTCCATACCGAAGGCTGCTGAGGGAAAGACCCTTGGATCAGATTGCTTGTAGAGCTGACCTCTCACGGTTATCCACGTTAGGCTTTCTTTCCTGGTAAATTCTGAATCTAAACTGAATCAAGCAGAAGACCAGCTGGTTATCCAAGGCATGCAAGAATGAAATGTTTATTTTTTTGCAGGGGGGAGGGGGGCAAGTCAATCAAACATAAAACGTAAGCATTTGAACGCCCACGGTTCCCCATGTGTTGGCGATGGACAGCATCTAGAATAAAAACCTAGTCACACAGGGGGTGCTCAAGCAATGACAGCGGCACATTAAAGCCACAAGCAGCTGCCATGCACCAGCTGAGGTGGTCTCCGAGACTCCAGTCTATGCTGAGCAGCGGGCATGGGGCACAGAACCAGGGAAGCAGACGTTGTGATGCTTCCATGAGCTCTGCTTGCCAGCTTTCAAACTATGAGGTCCAGTTTCCACCGTGATAAGGGACAAAAGACCTCCTTTTGAAATACAAGACTAGACTTTCAGCCTTTGCCTGTCTGACTGTACAAGGACAAAAGGAAACAAATAACAAAACTCAAAAGGAAAGGTTCTCTATGTATAGACCTGCGTGGAAATAGTTTATAAATAAATATCTGATTCAGATTCTACAGCCTCCTGGCCAGCTGGTTCATAAATTGACTTGCTTAGTCACTTCGGAAAGGTTAATTAATTAGTATTCTTCAAAGTAATATTGTTTAGCTCACATCAGAGAGCTTAAAAGGAATGAACATGCTTCTGTTCCAATCACCTTTGCTGAATATGATTTTTTTATATTTATTTGTTTGTTTGTTTGTTTGTTTGACTTGTCGAGGCAGGGTATCTCTGTGTAGTAATCCTGGCTGTCCTGCAGCTCTCTTTGTAGACCAGGCTGGCCTCGCACTCAGAGAGATCCACCTGCCTTTACCTCCCGAGTGCTGGGATTAAAGGCGTACACCACAGAGCCTGGCTCTGAATATGATTCTTTTTTTTAAACAATTATTTTTTTAAATATTTATTTATTATGTATACAATGTTCTGTCTGTGTGTATGCCTGCAGGCCAGAAGAAGGCACCAGACCTCATTACAGATGGTTGTGAGCCACCATGTGGTTGCTAGTAATTGAACTCAGGACCTTTGGAAGAACAGGCAATGCTCTTAACCGCTGAGCCATCTCTCCAGTCCCTGTGAATGTGATTCTTAATGTGTCCTTAAGGGGCTGTGAACCTACTGCCTCTGGGAATCCACTAGGATGCCGACATTACCTTATAAGGGAAGACACTGATGTTATCGCAGAGACCATCAACATGTCCATCTATGCTAGGTGGTCCTCTAATATGTTAGAAAATACACCCTGTTGGTAACGATAAAATTTGGGCTCAACTTTAAGAGCTATCCTCTAAATTTCTGCATTCTCAGTATTATCCAGAAGTTGATACATGAGACAGGGTGTCTTACTAGGATGTGGCTCTCATCAGTTCCCCAAGACCAAACCTCCCTACTGTTGGGACCCTTTAATACAGTTCCTCATGTTGTGCTGACCCCCACAACCATGAAATTATTTTTGTTGCTACTTCATAACTGCAATTTTGCTACTGTTGTGAATCTTGATGTAAATACTTGTGGAGTTAGAAGTCTTTCAAGGGGGTCGAGGCCCCGAGGCTGAGAACCGCTGTTCTAGGCTCTCTAGCTGTGGAGCCCCAGGGATCTGCCCATCTCAATCTCTGGGGTGTTAAAGCATACCTCCTGGCTGGCTTTTCATGTGAGTTTTGGGGAATCTAAACTTAGGGTGCGGTGACTGTGTGGCTAGACAGGCACTTTACGCATCCCCCCCCCAGGCCATCTCCCCAGCCCTTAGGCTGTCCACAAGGTTATATCCTTTCCATATTCCGCCTTTATATCTAGTTTGCGACGGTCCCTTTCACTGCCTTAACTTCTCCCAGCTGTCTGTATCCTCCCCTAAGAACGCAGAAGTCACCCTTGTAAAGTTCTAGGGAAAACCCCACTGGGGTTCAGAATTGTCTTCGCATTACATTCATTGTGTGAGAGGAATTGCATTTCTTGAATTTAAAGAGGCTTCTAATAAATTTCTTTTATCGTTTGTCATCCTTCAAGTTCTGACAAAGTTTTAGGATTTGGTTATAATTCTTATGCCTTTATTATATTCTGAGCAAAGTATAATTTAATCAAGTTTTGGGGCATTTCCATTTCTAATTAGTTTCTCAAGAAGAGAAAAGAAACTTGCTTTGTGTATTTATGCTATGTATAGCCATTTTACCCAGTTTCTGAGCTGGATGTTAGTACAATGTCAGCCTTCTTAAGGACACTATGATGTAATCTTCCAATAAAGGCCTCTTTGTTCCTTTGTGTCTACTGCTTAAGCCGCCTATTTCGTTTTCTTATCTTCTAACCGTAATAGAGGAGAAAGACTCCCATGTTGACTTGCAGTAAGGTTGCTAGTTGGGGCCCCATCTCCAGTTCTTGGTTCTGTAGCATTGACTACTATCCCACCGTTTGGCACAATGGTAGCTGTTGGTTTTGGAGACAGTCTGTCCAGCTCAGTTTTTTTTTTTTCTGTTTATATTTCCATGTATATTGCTGCTGAGTTTAGGAAGGTACCTGCTGGGCCTTTACATAACAGGCACAGAATGTGTGTTGAATTCGACAAAAACTCATGGCCCCTCTTGTAGTGATGGTTCTGTCCAGGTGATGGGCCGTTATCCTTGAATTGTTGAGGACTCACTTCGAGAGATCTATTTTAAACTCTGACCACAGCCCAAGTTCATTAGCGATTTGGGTTTCTATATTCTCTTATTCTCCTTGTGCTTCTTTGGGTTCTGTGCACATTCTTGATGGGCAGCTTTTTAAGAAACTGAACTCTGTCTTTTCATTTTTTTTTTGGAGGGGTGGGAGGAATGTTGATATTTTGAGACGAGGGTTTCTCTGTGTAGCCCTGGCTGTCCTGGAACTCACTCTGTAGTCCAGTCGAGCTTTGAACTCACAGAGCTCCACCTGCCTCTGCCTCGAGAGTGCTGGAATCAAAGGCATGCGCCACCAGTGCCCAAACCAAACCAAACTAAACCTGAATTCTTAATAGCCTAAAGTTATTAACCTAGATTTCGATTAAATTTAGAATTTCAAGGACAATACCACATGGGCAAATTGACTGTGCAAAAGGTAGACTCCAGTTTGGATCCTGTTTGGTCAAATCAATGTTGTCCCTTCTCCCCGCTAAATTTTAACAATTCATATTTCCTAGGAAAGCATCCCTTTCTTGGTATTTTCTAGTACTCTGTCCCCTGCTGCGGCACATACTCGCTTCCTTTATCCTCTAATCGTCCTTACCAGAGAGCTGCCTTTCTGGTCATATTTTTAAGTAGCTAACTATTTTACTTCTTTTTTTTTTTTGTTCCCTTAATTACATTTTTTCTTTTAGAAATAATTGGTTTCTGAGACCTGTAGGAAGACTACAATGAGGAGACAAGGCCCTGTCCGGCTTAGCATCTAAGATATTCTAGTATCTGTCGACCCGGAGAGGTGATGGTTCAAAGAAATGCACTTGATAAAATCAAAGTGGGTGCAAGACATAATGGAATGGATCAAATTTTAAAATAAAGACAGCATCAATATCCTTGATTTCTCTTTTGCCTCTGACTCCAGTACAGTTCAGTACAGCGCTATTCCTAAATTTATTTATTTTTAGGTTTGAGAAGGGAAAAACTCTTTCAAAACATGGCATTTGTGGACAAGTTCATGTTTCTTCTGACAGGGAAAACCCTCTTTCCTAATAAGGCAAATCTGTTGTATTTCCTTTAACGAAGCTTCTTAGAGGCTCTCCTACAGGAAGTACTAACTGCCACAGGTTCCTAAAAGCCCCATGTTCTAGGAAGAAAGTGTGTCTACAAGTGTGGAGTGTTCCGATGACATTAGAGGAAGAGAAATCAGACAAAAGGTTATCTGGTAAATAACAGGATTCTTAAAATGTTGTTTTGGAAGAGATGCTAAGATCCAGCAGGAGGCAGGATGCAGTGAGCTAACAGGGCAGCTGCATAGCCACAGAGGTGCCAAGCAGGAGACACGGCGGCACCGAAAGCCCAGGCACAGGTGGGCCGTTTTAGCCTGTTATGAATTGCCGTCATATCTGTACGCCTTAGAGATCAGAACATACGCACTGAAAGATCAAATGCTTTTAGTCACTTAATACACTTTCAAGTGCAAGGCAGCATAGAAATTAAAAGAGGAAGAAAGAAAGGAGGGGGAAGGAGGCTTCATTTGAGGTAGGTGCAGAAATATGCATTTTTCAAAATGCTGCTCTTCCTACCACTGATAGTAATAAAAGAGACAAGCTCTTTTATGCTGAAGAATGATTTCCTCAAACCCCCAAATTTCACTAAAAACAGTGGCGCTGATGGTGAGCATCGCTGCTAGAGCTCTGCCTGTCAAAGCCCTGATGATATGAGATTCCCTTTCACGGAGTCCCATGTCATCTGGTTCTTCTCTATCCAGAATCTTTCTTGTCAAGTAAATTGATCTCTATGTCAGTATCGGTCACGTTCCATGTACTTCTTTCTCGCTCCGACTCATCGTGCGCGTCGGTCCTGTGAGTACCCAAACACAGAAACAAAAAATGATCTTTTAAAGTCTGAATCCAAACTTGAGATCAAACGAGTTGTCTTGAGTTATAAAATTAATCAGCAGTCCAACCACGACCTTCTGTGCGGCTCCTCTAAGCTCCTAGTTCTTCAACACACTCCGAGCAGCCGCGCCGTCATGGGATAAAGATGAAACTCAGCCATTCCTTAGCAACCCATGTTGACTCAGCAGAGTTTGCAAAATTTCAAACCGAAAGGACGACAGGCACGTGTCTGAGGCACTCAGGACCTAAAAGAATTGTCAGTAGAGGAACAAGTGCAATTTAGTGCTAATAAAGGGAGTGTGTAGCCAAAACACACTTAAGCAAACAGAACACCGTGTCTCTGACTAAAATGCTGTCTTTCCACACAAACCCATCCATTTGATTGGGTTTGGAAGTATCTGAGAGGCCAGCATGTATGTGCAAAGTATATATGCTAGATGCTAAAAATGTCACATCTAATCAATCCTATGACCTAGTTGAGTTTAATTTGCTCATCCTGTATTAACCATGGAGCATCAGCCAGTCTAATATGAAGCTATAAACACGGAACAAACAGTGATCGTGTCAGCTTTGAAATTTTCCCTTAGGAAGCAGTGGGCCTGGTGCTGTAGATGAGTGAGCGAGGTGCTTGTGTAGCAGACAGAAAGGCCTGGACCTGAGCTCCAGCACCAACCAGCCATTGGTGGTGCACAGTTGGAATCCCAGCCTTGGGAAGTAGAGGCAGGAGGATCAGACATCCTCTGCTGTTGAGTGGGCTCCGGGCTGTCTTGAGAGAGGCGGGGAAAGGACATGCTAACTGCGAGGTAGCCGGGTTATTAGCTACAGTCCTTTTACTTATCGGATCCTCCCATGGGAATAGGTCAATCCCTGGTTTGTGAATTGAAATGCCTTCACCTGTGCCCATCCCCCCCAGCACACACACACACACACACACACACACACACACACACAACACACACACACCATTCCTGACAAGCTTTGGTCCCTGTGCAGCTGGCTCTCATCTCCACTTCCGTTTTGATGCTCAACCCTTCCTACTGTAAACTGGGACAGTCTCCTCCATTAGCCGACATCTTTAAACGTGACCTCCCCGACTCTGTCATTTCTAACTAATGCGTAAATATTTGCACCCAGCTCTGCACACTGCATTGCCAACTCCCACCGTTGAAAGAGGGCGTGTGTCACTGTGAAAGGAGCTGAGCCACCTGTTTCCAAGCTCCCAACCGTCCTTCAAAACTGTGTTCTAAGAATCTGTTTTCTTTAAACCTGTCCTCCGCATCCTTTCCTTTCCCGTCTTCCTCCTCTGCCACAGGACGCAACTGTATCCTGCCATTTAGCTGCTCAGAAATGTCACACTACCTGTACTGGTGACAGAAAACTCCCTAGCTCACCATTCCTGCTCCGGCCAGGGTCTAACAGCGCTGATTCCACACACAGTTGTCCTGCTTTGTCAGCCTTCGGGAGGTATATTCGTAGTCTTCTTAGACTGTGGACCTCCCACAACACTCTGCAGTGCACACAGCCGACCAGACTCCATCTCCTTCCTGGCACCCGTCCTGGGAATTGCTCACTCGGGGCTCTGGTTACGTCAGTCCCGAAAGGCCATTCTCCGTCAGGTCCATTCATGTCCCTGTCCTTGTCTTTGCTTAGAGTCTGAATGTCCCCACTTCTTACAGCTCGTGTGTTATGTCCCTTCTCCTTTGAAATATTCCTTTCTGTTGTTTGAGAATTTCATAGTGTTTACAATGCGCTCCGTTCAACACCACCCCTACCCTTGTCCCCACCATGTCTGTCTCATGTTTTAGTCACCTTTACTACACAAGCACCTCAGTCAGTGAGCTACAGCACCAATCCTGCTGCTTTCTAAAGGAAAATTCCAAAGCTAACACAATCACTATTGGTTCAGTTTTTATAATTTAATATTAAATTCTTATACTGATATTGTGCTATGTGGACAGAAGTTTCTCTCCTGCCCAGTTCCTCAGCCGTTCGGTCTCAAAAAAAAACACACAGAGGTTTATATTAATTATAAACTGTTTGACCTTTTAGCTCAGGCTTACTATTAACTAGTTTTCACAACCCATAATTCTTGTCTCTGTTTAGCAACATGGCTTGGTACCTTTTCCCAGTAAGGCATACTCATCTTGCTTCCTCTGCATCTGGCTTGTGACTGACTCTCTGCCTTTCCCCTTCTCAGAATTCTCTTAGTCTGGTGGCCCCACCTATACTTCCTTCCTGGCTACTGGCCAATCAGCATTTTATTAAACTAATACAAGTGACAAATCTTTACAGTGTATGAGAAGATCACCCCACAGCAGCACTATTGACATATGATGAGTAAATTAAGGACATGATGTTGAGCTCCTGGAGGCAAACAAATCTCTTCGTGCCTTTACCCTCTCTTGAGCCTGCAATTCAAGGGAATATTTGTAGATGATCAGTGTCTGCTGAATTGCAGAGCAGCCCTTGGTTCTGCACATGCCCCAGGATAGACCGCCTCACCGTGTGACTTCTCAGAGGAGAGCCACCACCACATGACAACAGAAAAGAAAAATTGAGAATTTTGTGTCATTGGGGGTTAGTATGCAAAATATACGAATCAGGTAACTCATTCTGTTCTGTTCTGTTTTTAATAGAAAAACACTGAATTCCAGGAGAAGGAAAAGATTCTGTCTCAAGATTTTCTTTCAATTGACCAGATCACTGACCTGCTGAAAGAGGTGCACATACATGGAATTCAAGAGTAAGGACTCCAGAATTTTAATCATGTTTAATTAGTTCTAGGCCTTCATTGCATCTGTTAATGTTGACCAAGAGCCACCTGGATCTACCCTGTGCCCTCTTCTGTCTTTCGTCTCTTCCATTCATGAAGCTGTCAATATGTCCAATAGTCCAAGAGATATCCTTTTGTAACATTAATTATGTTAATATAATATAGCAAATAAGTTAATAGCATCAAGAGTTAGTTAGGGTCTTCTCTTAGTTTGGGTTGTTATTGCTGTGATGAAGCACCATGAGGAAGCAGGATGGTGGTAGCACACACCTTTAATTTCAGCACTCGGAGGCAGAGGCAGTTGAATCTCTGTGAGTTCGAGGCCAGCCTGGTTTACAGAGCAAGTTCTAGGAGAGTCAGAGCTACACAGGGAAACCCTGTCTCAAATAAACAAACAAAACAAAACAAAAAAGAAGAAAAGAAGGAAAAGGGTACCATGACAACATGATAAAAACGTAAAACTTGGGGAGGAAAAAGTTTATTTGGTTTACACTTCTACATTACTGTTGATTAAAGGAAGTTAGGACAGGAACTCACACCGCGCAGGAACCTACAGGCAGGAACTGATGCAGAGGCCATGGAGGAGTGCTGCTTCCTGGCTTGCTCACCATGACTTGCTTAGCCTGCCTTCTTATAGAACCCAGAACCACCAACCCCGGGGTGGCCCCACACACCATGGGCTCGGCCCTCCCCCATCAATAATTTTAAGAATATTCCCTATAGACTTGCCTGCAGCCCGGTCTTATGGAAGCATTTTCTTAACTGAGGCTCCCTCCTCTCAGATGACTGTAGCTTGTGTCAAGCTGACATAAAACTGTCTAGCAGTTATGATATTGTAAGTTCTGCATGCTAGCCATTTGCCAGTGATATTTATGGGAAAAAAATAATGCTAAGCTCTAGACTCTTGTGGCATATGTTATTTTAAATGTAGGTAGGAGTGAATTTGCCACAATAATTCTAACATTCTACTATGGGGGCTAGTGTGTTGTGAGGACCCATACCTTGAAATCTGGCCTTTGCAAACCAGTACTCAGGACACAGGCAAGGTGGCACAGGCCATAATGAACACATAGACAGTGACTCCTTCAATGTTGACAACAGACAGATCTTACAAATGCTATGGCACCAAAGTGGTTTACTCCTGAGAAGGAGCTATGGTGGATGCCCCTGATAGGAGAGGAGTCTAAGAAGGCTCATCAAGAGCAGGCAAACAGCAAAGACAGTTTTTTCCCAGGATGCACTTCACTTCCAGTGCTTTCACAGAGAAGTGATAGCAAGGACTGGGCCTAAATGTCTAACGTCTGCAGCTCTCTGAGAGTCAGTCAGAGAATTAAAAATTCCACCCATTTTAAATGATTTTTCATAACACTTTTTACCATATCTACATAAATAGTTAGTGGGAATCCCTATCCATAGCATAGGGATTGATGAAAAAAAAAAGCAAAAAATAAATAAATAAATAAATAATGTGTATTACAGATGGATCACGATGCCTGAGTTTGAGCCCTGTCCTACATAGTAAAATGAACTCCAGAAAGTTCTTCTTCAACCTCAGTATTTGTGCTACAGTGTGCAGACACCCTCACACACAACCATACACACACAGGGTAAGCAAATAAATCCAAACAATTTTAATATTTGATCTGAAATAATCTCTCATGGTATTAATAAGATTTATAGTGATTTTGTGTAAAAGGTTCTTCCCACTTGTGGGTCACTATATGAAAATGGTCTTTGCCGTGCATAGCAATACTCAGCACTGAGAGCAATACAAAGCAACGGATATATATTTCATCCAGCTTCCAGTTTACTTGTAATAACTAGTAAGTAAAATGTCAACATTAAAAATACTAAACATCTAGTATTTAAAAGTAATTCATAGTAAATAAAATGTTAGTTTCTAGAACAGTGCATTTTTCCAGCCTAAGTTGTACTGTGGTTATGTGCCCTACCTTATCGAACACAATTTCTTTTCAATTATTGGCTGTCCTTCGTTGTTAAATATCCAAATTCAGAAAAAACTTATAAGCGCCAGGAAGACATATATGGAACAAAGCACAGGACACAGCCAGTGCCACAAGAGTCAGAGGAGGACTGGGAGAAGCAACATAGGCAGAGAGAGAAACCAAGCTGGCTGCAAGTTCACAGCCAGCCTCGCTTGCAAAGTACATCTGGAACAACCAGGGCCACCTGGCTAGATACGCAGACACGAACGAAACCAACAGAACACAGCACAAAACTTAGCAGCGTGGGTAATACGTGAAGCAGCTGAGTCTAAAGCAGGTCTCCAGTGATATAGATGATCCCGTGAAGGGATCGGATGCCGAGTTTTCGGACAGTGTTATCCTAGGAGCCGTTTTCTTGAAACTTTCCTGTGTTTTAAAATATAACCTCTCTGACAATAATCTACATATATTTGCAGTCATTTTCAATTTAAAGCAGCATTATTGTAAGTGATGGTTATATATTTTTCAAAAAGACAGCAGTATAATTTAATTAGCCTCTCCTGAGTGACCAAAATAGTCCCAGATCATGCAGTTTGGAGAGCTATAAACCTACTTAAATAAATTACAACGGATCATCATATTTCCCTACATTTCACAATTATGAACTTTTTCTCTGTATCAACGGGCAACCCAAGAAACACGAGGGATTATTCAAAATACATTTTGAAATAGACTTCACATGCCTGGTGTTCTTTTCATGACTTTCTAATGTATGCTATCGATAATAATTTATTTATATACAACTCGGCAGTACTTACAAATCTACTCCAAAGTTTCATTTCAAGAAGACAAGAGAGGTCTGCAGAAATGGCTCAGTGGTTAAGAGCAAAGGCTGCTTTTGCAGAGGACCTGGGTTTGATTCCCATCACCCCCATGGCAGATAACAACCATCCAGGGAATCAGATGCCATCTTCCAGCCTCCTCAGGTACCAGGCACACAAATGGTACCCAGACATACATATGAGCAGAACACCCATACAAATAAAATAAAAATTTAAAAGAATACAATCTTTAAAAGTGGTAGAGGCTAGTTAAAAATAACTTTATAAACACAGAAGTAACACCAAGCCTTGGTTTTGCTAGATTGTATTTTTGGAAACTGAGTCTGACTCTTGTCACCCAGGCTGGCCTCAGCTGAAGGGAACACTCCTGCCTCAGCGTCTCAAATGCTACGAGTTGTGCACCACCACACCAGGTCTCTCAAGATACCTTCTAATAACCTTCTGTAGTCAGACCTCTCTGAGAGGCTCAGCTGGTCTGCAGAGTTAGTTTCTCCAAGCCGATGCACTTCAGAAGGAGAATGCATTCCAAGTTCTAGAGCATGAAGGAATTATGATATAGTTTTGCTGACACTCTTGATGAGGCAAAACATCACCTCTGGCTGCGTCACAATGTCATGAGAGGCCCCTGAGTTCCTTTTCTTTGTGTACATTAGCCCATTCTACAGTTGTACTTCTCTCTCTCTCTCTCTCTCTCTCTCTCTCTCTCTCTCTCTCTCTCTCTCTCTCCCCTCTCTATTTCTTCTCTCTCTCTCTCTCTCTCTCTCTCTCTCTCTCTCTCTCTCTCCCTCCCTCCCTCCCTCCCTCTCCAAACTGGTCAGTAGAAGACTCAGACAATGTTACAGCTGGCAATGTCTTGCACTAAATAACTCCTTTGGAGTGGAATGACGGGGAAAGAATAGAAGCCATCAAGTCAATCCTCAGCCCCAAGGGTCAAGTCAAGGGAGGGAGTTCACTGACAGTAGGAAAGGGAGAAGGGGGAGGGTGTCAGCCAAAGCTGAGGTGGGGGAGTTCAGGGAGTGGTCACCAAAATGTGCTTGAAAAAGTTGTTGTGTTCATTCAAACAAAATAGTGAAAAAATAAAAATAAGAAACAAAGACCATGTACAGGTATTCCAGTCAAATATTGACCCCAGAGTGCAGGCGGCAGATGAAGAGAAAGTTTAAAGAAAACTCAACAGAAGTGAGAGAAATGTTAACCAAAAGCTCATGATTAAAGGCTGAATCAATTCCGCAAACCAGGAGATTAAAGAGCTGGTAAGATATGTACATAAAGAAACCCTTGGAGCTAAAAGAAGACGCTACGCATAAAGAACTAAGTTAATGTGAAATCTGCTTTGCCGAAAATGAAGTCAGTGACAACAGAAGATAAACGTAAGGAAACTCGTAGTGGGGTGTGTGTAATAACACGGTGGGAGGGAGGGGATCAGGCTACACATCGCACATCAGCAACCAGAAGAGAATGAAACTTCGTGTAACACGGGCTTGGCCTTTCCTGTTTCAGTGGAACGAAACTTCAAGCATTTCTTTATGTCTAGAGTAAGGTGACCCAGGGACAATGAGCAGGCAGGCCTCTCATAGTTCCCTGTCAGGCATGGGCAGCCGCTCTCTGAGGACCAGGCAAGTCATCCCAACCTGGTTCGTAGAAAGAATGTGATTTCAGGATCACAATCTAGCAGGGATTGTTTAGGACATTTTTAATACAAGGAACTCAAAAAACTCAGTGTCCTGTGGTTTATTTGAAAAATTGACCTATCACCTCAGGAAAGATTAATCAATTCATTGATGCATCTAACAGAACAATAAGAAGAAAACTGTCAAAGAGAATTGTGCTCTAGAAAACAAAAATAAGAAAATAAATTTAAAAATCCCTGGCAGTGAGAACAAGATTCATTTGAAATTAAAATAAAGGCAAACAGGATAATTATAAACTAGAACAACTATTCTAGAACATTCTGGTAAAAATAAGAATGTGTGTGAGGGGGGAATAACCCAATTTCTACCTTTCACAAAAATAAAACTGAATTTCAGAATGCTTTCTAAAACTGTACCCCAAATACAAAGGGTCAGTAGTTCTGGTGGCACCAAAGCTCTTAGAAAATCATTTGTAAAAGCACATAATAGGGGTTGGGGAGATAGTTCAGTGGGCGAAGTGCTTACTGCGCAGGCGTGGTGACTGGAATTCGGAGCCCCAGCAACCAAGTAAAAGATGTGCAGTCATGGCGGCTGCCTATAATCCCTGCACTGGGAGGCAGACAGTGGATCCCAGGGCAAGCTGGCAAGTTGCCCGCTGGCCTCTATGCACATGCACACAAACACATTAAAAACTTTTAAGTGGAGGCAAATACATAAATACTCTATGTATACACACACACACACATAGATAGATAGATACATATAATGTCACTATCAAACTCAATATTATGAAACCAACCTGCCCCTAAGTCTCCTGTTAAGTGATATTTTAGATAAAGATTACAAGATGGCTGCCAATAGCAATCATAGCTACTTATTTATGACTCTGTTTGATTTTTGCACAATGGAAGGAAAGCTAACTTGTCCTTGTGAGTTAACAAGGTAATACAACACCTACAGAAAAGCTCTTCCCTTAGGCCAGTCTTATAGGCTTAACAACATCATGTGCCACGGTGGGAAGGGGAGAAGCGATGAAGGGGTTGCTTAAAAACCATCAGACCTCACGTAGGGTTTGTGGTTTCTCCTAATAGCACTGCATTTGTGTTGGGCGTTGATTTGTTACACACATGTCAAAAGACATTTTAGCATCTAAACTTGTTTTAATTATCACTTGTTTGAATCCGGTGAAGGACAGGGCTCTGCTTTTGAAGATGGTGAAGTGAATTTGCCACACATACCATCTCCCAAGTCATCCTGAGAAATCACATATTAGCAACGAGAAAAACCAATTAAGCCTTTGTCAAGAAAAGAGAATGCAGAAGACCCAAGCCACGAGCTTTGAAGGTGATCCCCACAACTGGATGTGCAGGAGCCAGTCTGAGGGAGATACACACAGCTGTGGGCTTTAGGACGAAGGAGAAATACAGGACACCTCCTGGAGAAAACTCTAGATGTTATGCTATGAATCCCCATTTGAAGTGTAGGACCTTGGTGTGCAGGAATGGGGTACACATACCTGTTTCACAGACCATTTATGTCACAGTAAAATGAGTCTATATCTTTTCTTATTTCACTAATCCAAACAGACATAAACGTTAGAAGAATTGACAGAAAGTAACTACACACAGGAAATGCCTATGAGTTGGCTATCAGAACAGAGGCAGTACCAACGAGTTTGTATCATGGCACCGGAAGTGTCTACTAGTGTCGATATAATCACTCAGGGAGCGTCTAATAGTTTGTACATAGGCAGGTCTCACATCCAGCTCACTTCCTGCAAGCAGCTATCCCCTGTTCAAAGATAACACATGAGGACTATGCCTGCAGAGACAGTGACAGAGCAAAGACCAGGACAGGAGCAGGACAAAGACACTGTCGGAAAGATGTGAACAAGCCGGGCGATGGTGGCGCACGCCTTTAATCCCTGCACTCGGGAGGCAGAGGCAGGCGGATCTCTGTGAGTTCGAGACCAGCCTGGTCTACAAGAGCTAGTTCCAGGACAGGCTCCAAAGCCACAGAGAAACCCTGTCTCGAAAAACCAAAAAAAAAAAAAAAAAAAAAGAAAGAAAGATGTGAACAGAGACGCACAGAAAATACAGGCTAATGTTGTATTCTTTTTTTTCAAACTTATGGAGCAAAAGCAACAACCACACAGAACAGACTTATAGCAGCTGGGGGAAGAGATGATGGACAAGCAAAGGCGAGAAATAGTCGAAGAAAAATGTAGAGAAAGAAAGACGTTTAAAAGGAACTCAGGGTAGAAATAACTGTTTAACCCATCCTGAGAGAGAAGAAGTAAGAAGATATAGACTTAGGGAAAAAAAAGATGTTTGAAAAAAAAAATTAAATGTACCTGACAGAAAGCCAATGAAACGGGCACAAGCTGTTTCCTTTGCAGAGAGAGAAGGATATTTAACAACCTGTTTTCAGAAACAGATCAAACGTAATCAGTAGATTGTTTCATAGAGAAATCCTGGCTGGAGGTGCGACTAGATTGGGAGGAAGAGCACTCACTTTGAATGCCTGCCTCTAATCCCAGTCAGAGCAATGGAGTTTGGGCATTGGGATCAGGAGTTCAGGTGGTCTTTCCAGCATGGCAAGTTCCAGACTAGCCTGAGCTACCGGAGGGCCTACCACACACACACACACACACACACACACACACACACACACACACACAAAGAAGGGAGTGTTGAACTTTACATTTCAGGCGGAAAAAATACCAGGTATTGAACGTATAAGAAATGGAGACAGAGAAAAAAAAAAGAATTGAGGGGCGGGGGGAACATCTTCTCATTCATCCCCTGCCACCCTTCTTCTTCCTTCCCTCCTCCCCTTTTCCTGTCATCTGTGGGTCCTGATAGGACTGAACACTTTAAGGTGAGACACATTCTAGAATTTTCATTGAACTTGTTGCTTTCAAGACTTCTCAGAACTGTTTTCACTACTTAATCTCATTTAATGCCTGCCTTTTTTGGTTGTTGTTGTTACAGGAAAATGGGAGTATTTCTGAATTTCAAAAATCTCCAGACTTGCTTAAGAGATGCCATTCTCTTGGACTACTATGTGTCTGGGTTCTTTTGGGCCAAAGAAATGGACTTTTCCCTCGACCAATGTTCAAAATTTATGACCCTGCTGGACATGTTACTGCATAATCTTCAAAGTAAGCCCAGTCCCCCTTTGTTGTTTTAAAGGGAAGAAATGTAGTCTGTGTAAATTAATATTTCAAAGCCAAGATGCTTGCTTCATTGCGGTTCCTTTAACAAGAACTGCGGGCTTGTTTCCTGGATACAACAGGGACAGCTCATTTCAAAGAATTCCTAGTAAGACTAAGGCTCTCTTTGTTGATTCGCCAAAGTTATTCTAATTAGTATTCCCCGCACCAATCACACTCAAAATATCTTAGGATACTCTGATATTTTTGCGATTTTTCTGTATACCCGAAACTACGTTGAAATCCAAATATCGTTTAGTCTATCTTAAAAGTAGATTACTTTGTATTCTAATTTTTTAAAGGGGAAAACGGGGAAGCCTTCTGTGTATTGTATGAAAAGACTCCATATCAGCAGAGTAAAAGAACATGAAGACGTTTTTTATAAAAACTTTTGTTTATAAAAGATAAAAAAGAGTGTATATTTTTATTTATATGCATACAGGAAAGCAAAAGAATACAGGAAAAAAATATGAATTGTCTGCGAAGCCAGGCATAGAGGCACACACTAGAACCCTAGTACTTGGGATCTGGGGAGGTTTGAGGGGAAGAGTCTAAAGATGAATCTAACACACAGCAAGAATGGGTCTTATTTTAAAAAAAAAGGAAGAAGAAGAAGAAAAAGAAGAAGAAGAAGAAGAAGAAGAAGAAGAAGAAGAAGAAGAAGAAGAAGAAGAAGAAGAAGAAGAAGAAGAAGAAGAAGAAGAAGAAGAAGAAAAACCTTCTGGGGAGGATATGGAAACTGGGGTGTGAGCTGTAGGGGCTGGAGGAAGCCTTTTCAGGCTAGATCTGCATATAAAGCAAAACTTGAATGCATCGGTCACACGAAAATTAACGTTCCAAAGAATGTTTGATGTAGCTGTCCAAAACTTCGCAACTTCTGAGCAGAGCATTCACAATCAAAAGAGCGCAGAAGGTCAGAAGGCAGATGCTTTCGAGAGCTTCCCATCCGAATTTGAGTGAATATTTCTGTTTTACACCTTTCTCACACTCCCAGCCTCCCAGTGGCCTTCAGTTGAGCTCTGTGTGGTTGGTGTCAGTTCAAGCCTACACTTCTGACCCATGGAGCAGGCTTCATGCAGCTAAATCAGGAGAAGTGGATTCGGGGAAGCAAACAAGTCCATGTAGACATCTGGGAAGAAAACAAGCCTTTAATTCCAGCACTCAGGAGGCAGAGACAGGCGGATCTCTGTGAGTTCGAGGCCAGCCTGGTCTACAGAGTAGGTTCCAGGACAGGCTCCAAAGCTACAGAGAAACCCTGTCTTGGAAAACAAAAGTAACAACAGAAAGAAAGAAAGAAAGAAAGAAAGAAAGAAAGAAAGAAAGAAAGAAAGAAAGAAAGAAAGGGAAAGAAGAAAGAAAGAAAGACCCTCTCAAGCCATTCAATAGAATTAGAGTGTGAACAAAGAGACAGACTCAGCTGGTTTACACAGCAAGGAGGCAAAGTGTGTTCACAGCTAAACCAAGGGACCATGGGATCCTGAAGACAAAGTCAACAACAGCACTCCACCAGAGCTCCAGCCACAGAGCACAGCTGGGCTTTGTGGTTGTCAAGCCCAGCCCACTTTTGGACAGCTGGGCTTCTGACCAAGATGTTCTGCAGAGAGCCCGCCTCAGATCAAACAGGATCATTTCAAAGATACGCACTTCGGAGACTTTATCTTGAGAGCACGCTCTTGCTTTTATGGTTTGTACCCGCTGAAGACAGAAAATATTTCTGAAAAAAAAAAAAAAACACTTCTATTCATCAAGTTCAGATTTTTCATTCTTGTCAGCATTTCCTGAACAATAGACCACAGCAAATAATTTCTGCCGTATTATTCAGAGAGAGAGAGAGAAAGAGAGAGAGAGAGAGAGAGAGAGAGAGGACCAAGATTCAGAGGGATTCAGTTAATTCCTTAAGATGACTTGAGGTCCCCTCAGCAAACAAGGGTCTATCCTTCTGGTGCCACATCCGACACGGCTTGCATGGGGCAAAACCTAGGACAAACAACTAAGATAATTCACTGGAAACCAGCGCACAGTAAATCGCTAGAACCCAGTGCACATGTGACTGCACAGCCTAGGACCAGCACATATGTAGTGCTGTTCATGTATAGTAGACCAGAAATGGGCACATGAAAGGAAAGCATGTATGTAAAAGAACATGGGTACATGCTAGGAAGGCACATAGGTAAAGGACCGGAAATGGGTAGATGACTGGAAGGGCACATGTGTAAAAGGGACAGAAAGCACCACACAGTACGAGCAGCATGCACAGAACAGGCTTGAAGCTGGTTCTCGGTAGAAATAGTACATGTATAATCGATGAAAATGTGGTACACCGCAGAAACAGCACGTTCATAGTAGAATACAAGCTGGCGCACACTAAAGCGGTGTAGGGATCATCAAGTAAAAAGAGCACACACGTAGACTAGCTGTCCCCAGGTTTCTGGGCAGCTCCCATTTGCCTGCTGCAAGGGCACCATTATCTTGGATGCAGGTATTCTCATTTGAAGATAAAATGGCGAGACCAGCGACCTAGCTGGCAAGTGCCTTTACCTGATCCCATCCCCAGTTTTCTAACTAGTTACAAATCTCGTCTTTTCCCTCACCCCAGTTTGCATTTGGTTCAGTTCTTCCCAATCTAGTCACTCCACTTGTGAGACTTCAGTGAACTAAGAAAAGGGGTAACCCCTGCACTTTTGGAAGCAATCATCACTAGCAAGGCAGGAGGTGCTCCAAAAACAGTCTAAGGACTAAGCCATATATAAGCCACAGTCTTATAAACAGACGCATTCTGTGTTTGATAACCATAGTGTCATCCAGAATTCAAATCAGCAATCTAAATAACCCCTTTCTCTGCATCTCAGATTAATGAGTTTGATTTTTCTATTATGAGTTGCGCTCCTCGGACCCATTTTTCCTTCCCAAATTCCCTTCAGCTGTGGGGGTTATTTTTAAGGTTTATTGTGAAAAGAGGAATGCACAGTTGTCGTGTTTTACCTGGGGTGACAAAAAGGCCCTTGACCTTTTTTTTTTTAAATATTTATTTATTATGTATACAATATTCTGTGTGTATGCATGAAGGCCAGAAGAGGGCGCCAGACCTCTTTACAGATGGTTGTGAGCCACCATGTGGTTGCTGGGAACTGAACTCTGGACCTTTGGAAGAGCAGGCAATGCTCTTAACCATTGAGCCATCTCTCCAGCCCCAGCCCTTGACCTTTTTGTGTGTGACTCGTGTGATAACCGTGACCTGTAGGAGGACCCTGAAATTTTACTCCTACCTACCGACAAACCAAGAGAGACATGAAATGAATAACATGTAAAATTAAATACGGAAAATTTGAAAATATCCATATAGTTGACTCCTATCAAAAACCTTCCAGCCAAGTTGTTCACATGGCAACAGACATGTGTTGCCAAGAGACAGGGGATTCTACTCACTGGCCTTCCACACCCAGGTTCAGCACCACTGTCCACAGTGACTGAACCCACGATCTGGGTCTCCTCGCCACTTACGGTGGCCAGATTTTCTCTAATTTGATACATCCCTCTTTTTTCCCCCTTAAAATATGCTTTAAAAATTTTTTTCTGTTTAAAATAGATATTGGTGGTTTTGCTTTTTTCAACTGGAAACAAGCTGTCCCGCCCACCATGTATATATAAGGTGATAATGATCGGTAGACCAACCAGTACTAATCATCCAAAAAGCAATTATTAACTTGTTGTAGAGACACAAAGAGCTTCACCATTTCTCCCCCTAGGCGCTGGGCAAGGGGAATCTGGGCACATTTAGGACCTCCTAGACTCTCATACTTCCACAGCAGCTATTGCAATAACGGAAAGGCTTTCTGGCTTTGTTTTCAGCGCTCCATATGTCCTTAGAGGACAGCATCAAGTGGCTCGGGGAAGTGATGGCGGAAATTGGACCAAACCGTTCACTGAAGAACGAGGGGTTGCACGTCTTTGATGTCAAAGAAGCCAATGCCATCATCGATTACTTGAAAATCAGGTAGGACTTGTATTCGTCCCATTTGTCTTTTCCTTCGTGTCCTATAGGAAACACCTATAAAAGATAACCTAGACTTTAGTCAGTTCAGATGGGTGTAGAATCTGTGCAACATCTACTCAATCAACAGATAGCAGCTGGGCTGCGGAGACGGTCTGAGAGAAAAGGTGCTTGCCACCAAGCTCTGATGAGCCGCGTTCCATACCTGGGAACCACAGAGTAGAAGGAAAGAGTCGACTAACTCCCCCAAGCGGCTGATGGTCACATGGCAGTGGCACAGGTGCACCCCCACAGCCTCATGAACACAAATGAATTTTCTTAAGGGAGAGAATTCTGCATTCGTCAAGAGGATTCCTGAGTGACACTTTGACTTCCTCTGGCCTGGGGACTTCCCTGAGTCTGGAACTAACAGCATTTTATGAACAGAATTAAACCCAGGTGTAATGGATTCAAAAAGCTACATTTACATTTTAAAGAGTACCATTCATTTCCACTTAAGAGTTGATTCCGCGTGATTTGTGTTTGCACTGAAAGAGCTACAAGTCCTCACAGCAGAGGTCTTTACTCCTAGGGGCAGGGGAAGCTAAAGCACTAAGGCGTGAGTTCAAAGTCATCCTAAGCAAATTACTGAGACCTTGCCTCAAGAGTATTCACAAAAAGGACTCAGAATGTAGCTTCTTGGTAAGGTGTTTGTCCCTACGAACCATGAGGTTGTGTGCTCAATCCCTGCCACATGAAAAAAAAAAAAAAGAGAGAGAGAATCACATACTTCATCAAATCTATTAAATACTCTAAGCTCTAAGATATTTTGAACTAGTAACTAGTTTAACTCGTTATTAAATCTTACTTTCTACTTACAAAATGATTGTGGACGGAGTGGAAGTATTTTTATACCGTGATTCTTCATCATTGTAGCAAGAAACCTGTCTCATTTTTTTTTTGCCTATGTATATATAGTGTGTATGTGTGCTTGCTAATACAGGGACACACATATGTATGAGAGTACACATGTGTGCAAATGTGTCTGGAGGCTCAAAATTGGCCTCAGGTATCTTCCTCAGTTGCTCCCCGCTTCCTTTATTGAGACAGAATCTCTCACTTGAGCCCAGAGCCCCTCCGATTCAGTGAATTCAGCTAGCCAAGTTGTCCCGAGGAAACTGTCTCCACCTTCTGAGCAATGGGATCAGTGGTGGTCTACCACGCCCATTCGACATTTATACGGGTGCCGGGGACCTGAACTTTGGTCCTCAGGTATGCACACCGAGTGCTGAGCCATCTCCCAGCCTAAAATCTGCCTTAGGGTGTCTCCCACAAAGTATGTGTGAGAAGCATGCCTCTCTCCAAAGAGACAATTTTCAGACTCCACAAATCCCGGGACACCAGTGGTGAAAGTCCGCCTCTACCTAACTACACCTTCCTGCACAGTCTTTTCGCTCTCCCTTTTCAACTGTGTCTCCATGACTTCCCAGCATTACAAGTTAGCATCCTGCAAAACAGAGGGCTACCCAATGTCCTACACAGGTCAAGACCTACTTGGCAAAGGTCCTGGGGTTGTCTGGGAACATTATAAACAATAATGTGTTTAATATGATAAAGCTTATATACTGATTTCTGGTGTGGCTTAAGAATGGCATGGGATACGGTACTTTTTATAAGGTAACATCTAATACAATGGGATTCTTTTAGTACAAACCATGCTTCCTAGTGTGCGAGTCTCACTGAAAGCCTGACAAGTTTCCATAGCTTTTAGAGCAAGACATGTTCCTCCAGCAGGAGGAAGAGGAGGAAATGGACAGAAATCTAACCTTCATCACCCCCGCATCACTCCCCCCCACCCCCCACACTCACTGCCAAAGCCTGGGGACATGAGTTCAGATTCTTAGAACCCACGAAAAGCCAGGTGTGCCTGTAAGCCCAGGACTGACTCATAGGGAATTAGGAGGTGCTGGGAGAAGCTCCTGGCCCAGGCAGCAGTGAACAGGAAAGACCACATTCCAGGAAAAGGTGAAAAAAGCAAAAGCAAAGATCAACATAGAGGTTGTCCGGCCACCTCTACCACCCACCGTGCAACGCATACACCTGAACACATACACATACACACACACATACTCACACATGCACACACATAAACAAGCACATGAAAATCTGTGCCTTGAGGTCCTTCTGCACCTTAGGGCCTGAGATTCCCTGGACAGGGGAGGTCAACCACACACATTTGCTCTAACTTCCTTCTTCATCCACACGTCTACATGCTGGTCTGCTCAGGCAGGACACAGTTTTGCAGCTGAGCCTTAAGCCCAGGTTTATAATGCAAATGGGAGTCCCATAGCTAACCAGAGCATCAAAGCTTCCACACATGCCACGATGTCCCTTTCCTGACAGCGAGGGACAAGCTCCCTTCCCTGTCTCATCTCTCCAGGCCATGTTCATCAGTGTACATCTTAACAGCTCCACATGCCCGATCTTAGATCGCCTAATAAAAAGAATATTTAAAGAGATTAGTTAAATACAGAAAATCCAGATGTAATGCTGTTAAATCTCCACGTTGTGATTGTGGAGTAGCTACGCATTTAAATATAGTTATTAGACAAAGGATGAAGTCTCAGTGATTAGGAAATCTGGAACTGATAATGAAGCTGTAGGATCCTTTCTACAACTGTGCAGAATCCCACGTGAGTTCACACATAGAAACTCAGTAGCAGTGAAATTACCCAACATATTCACTTCAACGATTATTAAGTTTTAGAAAGATGAAGACGGCTAAACTATATGTGCTTCAGTTTAGCCTGGATAGTCTGTTGATCCAACCACTGAAAACCACACTTAACTTTAAGAGACCAAGTTTTCAACCATGGCCCATAGCATGTGCATTCCATGACTATTACTGGAGAGGCGTGAACCAATGGCTGCTCACCCTCCAGAGAACAGACAGACAGACAGACCAAAGAAATAATTCTGCCCACATCTAGTTTAGTGAAATAATGAATTTATTAGAATTACTTCCAGGAGCATGGGTAAGCTGAACCATCCCTGCCGCCACGACCAGCAAGGGTGAAAACTCATGAAAGCCACATCCTTCAAGGCCCCCTCCCACCCTGCAGAATGTGACAGGTAGATTTACCAGTGATTTGCCCCTCCTGTGACTGCTTCTTATTGCTTATACAAGTTTGGAGAGGGACCTCTGAATCTTGTCATCTTCTGGGCTTCTTGAGCCCCTGGTTTCAGGGTCTCTTCAGCCATGTATTGTCATCCTAAGTCTTGTAAAACTCTCCTTTGAGGAAGGAATGTGGCCGTTAGGAGGAAATAGTCATGCAATAATACAAAACTTAACTTGTCAATAACATTACATTTCTTCAGATACCTTCACTTTAGTCTAAGTGCTATATTTATTATACCTGTGGTCAGGAAGCACTGCTACCAAAGGTTCTTCTCAACGTGAGTAGGGGTTCTAGCCCGCTGTAAGAAAATCAGCCTTATCCCCACTTTGTGCCAAACAATGTGTGACACCAGGCCAGACAGCTCGGACTGTTTTTATTCCATCTTGCTTCAAGGTCTAACCTAAGAGGTGGATAACATCATCTAAACGCTTGAGTCAGACAGAAGTCCAATGAAGGCTATAGCAACTGCATTCCCGTGGTTGAACCATCAGCTGATTCTCAGATGAGACACCTATTATCTCCCTGAAGAAGCTGGAGGGTGCAGAGAGACAGAGAGGGAACTTGGCCTGTCCCTCAGGAAGTGTCCCCCTTAGGCACCTTCCCCTGGGTACACATCCTGGTACTGGTCCCAGTCCTGCCTCCCTACTACATCTTTGACCATCATATCCAAGTCAAGGATGCTGTTTGCATTGCAAAAGCTCCCTCTTGGCAGCCAGAGGACAGCCCCATTACTCTACATATCGAGGGCGCAGGGGCTGGAAGACGATGATGTTCCAGAGTGGAAACGTGTTACCCTATATTCTGTGTCTAGCACAAGATGGACAAAGTGGTGCTTTTTTCTAGTTCATTTACAGGTTAGCAAGCTGGATCCCAGGATAGCAGGCTGGTTCCCAAATATGGCCTTCCTTTGATTTGTATAACCCCCAATCAGCTATTGTCGGTGTGATAGTTTTGACCCCACAGTTTTCTCTAGGTCACCAATAGAAAAGAGAGGCACACTGGATTTATTTTTCTTCGGTTATTTATCAGACGTCGCTAATCTTCCTGTGTTTTTCCAGCCAGCAGATCAAAGCAATGTCAAAAGCTAAGTTAGCCTTGTGAATGTTGATGAGAAAATCAGGTATTCAGTGGCTGCAGAGAAGAAAGGAAACTTGACTGGGCCCACACAGCCACTACTCTTTAATGGATTGAGCTCCCAGGGAGGCTCCACCGCTAATGTAACTCAGAGGGGCCCAGCTGCCTGAGGATTTCTCCATTGATTTCAAATGAATTGAAACTTTGATCCATTACCACATCCAGGAGAAGCCATTATTACAGATACTCTGTAGCTACATTCTTGCAAATGTTAATTTCTCAGTTATATTAAAATCAATTTTCTTAAATAGCAGAAGGCACCAGAGTGAAAGAGAACCACTAAGACAATTTTTTTTTGTTCTTGGGCGTTTTGCTGTATTATGAGTCTATTAATTTTCCCAACCAGCAGGATGAGAATTAGAAAAATTCAAATATTATCACAAACAGGATATTAGAAATCAGCCCTTCGGTAACATTTTTAACTCTCAATGATACATCGCCAAGGCTGTGAACTTATTAGAAATATTGCTTTGCAAGCGCATGACTTTGTGCTCTTGTAGCCCATAATCCCTGGCCACCTTGTCAGGTGAGAAGAGAAGAGACATCCCTTCACACGTATGCCAGCCAGCCTTTGATGTGTGACGACACAGCCTGCAGGGAAGTCAGACGTCTCCAAAACAAATCTTATACCTTACCAAGTCATTTTTTTCTGGTGTTCCTGGAGACTGATTTACTCTTGAAACATCTGGGCAATGTGTGGCGTAATGGATATAGAAACCCAGCCCAGTTCATACCTGAACTGAGTCGGGTCTCAGGCAAAACACAGCTGATGCTGAGACTGGGTAGCTGCCTGAAGTGGAAGCTTGTTTTGGAATGAAAGAGATGGATCTCTGTCCCTCTGTTTACTGTCTCTGGCTTGGCCAGTTCCCCTTTCCCTTGAGGCTATTTTCTTCAGATATTTTCTCTCCTCTCACGCTAGTTGCATGTCTGTTTTGTGTTTCAGCTTATTCCAGCACTACAGGCTCTATGAGTTTATGTTCTACTCGACCAGAGAAGAAATTGTCATAGGAACCACGGTAAGTAACATGGGGCAGAGTGGCCGAACAAACCACTTAGCCCCTCTGAATCCGGAATGGCTCAAAGCAACTTCCGGTCATGATTGCCGATGCGTTAATATAGCCTAGTAACAATGAAAAAAAGAATAATTATGCCAGGTGAGTTTCCGATTAAGAAAATAAGGTGTCTTTGGATGGCGGGAGCGCCGTGAATTACATATTCAGGCATCTGTGGATTGTTTGACGAAGCTCCCTTGAGTAGGGTTCTCAAGTCTCCGTGCAGAGAAAATCAGGAATCCCTCAGGTGGATTGGCCCAGCACAGTCTCTTCTGATTTTGCACCGTTTTCCCTCTGCTGCTTTTGAAAACCAGCATCAAACCTCACTTCTCCACATAAGCAAGATCCCACTCACGGCCTTGTGTCTCCAACAAAGGATTTGGGCTCATTCACTAAACATAGTCTCTCAGGGGTTTCCTCCTTCATTTCAACTGATCTCCTCTTGCTAAATTTTGGCTCTGGTTACACAAACATCCATCATCCTGTGGATTTCGCAGTGTTTCCTGTGGGCTCGTATAGCCAGGTGATCCAACAGGGATGTTCCCCCAGGAGAGGGTCATCTGCCTCTCTTCTCTTAACATATGACAGCCTGGAGCATCATGTAGGAAGGACACAGTCCTCCTGAAATCAATCCTAACCAGCCAATTAGGTGTCAGATGGAAGGTGGGAGGTTTTACAGTCCGTGATCTACGGAGAGATGAGGGAACCTCAGACAAGTCACCTGGGCGCAATTGCTGGGAATGAACCCAGAGTGGGAAACCAGCTCAATGAGATGAAGATGTGAAGGAAGCTTTTCCCATCGGTTCTCCATCTGCTTCAGCAGCTGCACTGCCTACTTCATAGAAGGACAAGGGACAGGCAGAGCCGTGGCCAGAAAAGTGGATAGGAGATCCCACCGCCAACCCACCTTTCCTCACCTTAGGCGCCAGATGGGATGACTCTAACCGGATCTTGTCCACTTAGGATAACTTGGGTGGTGACGATACTCCAACATTAGTAGAATCAGATGTTTAGACCCATGATGAGCGTGCCCAGAGTTTGTCCTCACTCTGTTCCTCTGCAGTCCAAGGACAAGGTTAGACAACATCCGTGAGCGTGGGAAAGTAGCGCAGGTGAAGTAGATACTGGCTTCTTTGTTGGCTAGTGTGTGTTTTCCATATGATCAGAGTGGCAAGGTGTACTTCAGAGAAGGATGTGGATCTTCCAGACACTCGTGGGCTTCTAAAGGACTGATAAAAGCAGGAATTGTGTTATAGCATCTGGTGACATCTTGGTAGTCGCTCATGACTTTTGGTGCAATTACCTAGTTTTTAATTAACGGAAAAGGCAGGATTCTGGCCTACTACTGTGTGGCTGTTTGTGCTGGTCTCAAAGCTCTGGACTCAGATGAGATAACCCCGACAATCACCATTTTGTTTCAGATGGAACAAGCTAGATCACACTGATAAACATGAGTTTCTTTCTTAACAGTAGATAGAGGACTAGAGCAAAACACGTATGCCTCTATTCATAGACATAGCCAGATCATAAATGAAAATAGAAAAAAAAAGACATATAATGCCCCAGTTTTCAGCCACTGATTAAGTAGCAGACCCAGGAAATGCTGGTCAGTGGCTGTCAAACAGAGAGAGAGAGAAGCCGAGGATAACTGGCTCCCTAATAGAATCGTCGGAGTCCATCTGAGTTGATCCTGCTGGATCTTTGCACTGCTCAGAATTCTGACTGTTCTCACACTAACTACTCATGTGCTGGCAATACAGAGGTTCACCTGAGTGTTGGGGGTGTCATGGGAATGCAGTGTGAGATTCTGTCAGATAGAAGATGAAGAATCCAGAAACATGAAAATAAAAATGCGAAAAGGAGGAAGGGTAGATAAAAACGACTCAACCCCAAGTGCACTCTGGACACCTTGTTGGGAGCACGTGGTCTGGTGTGGGTGTGGTTTACGTGTGTCCAACAAAGATTCATGCCGGCTGAAGCTAAGGGAATCTTAACAGGGCAGTGCCTAGGGAGAGGATCTGTCTTTGGAGGGACACCCTCAGAAGGGGTTGAGGAAAGTAATCTCTCACTGATATCTTGATCCCTCCCACGTGCCCCTATCATTGCGTCACAGGCTACCATGCTCCCGTGGGGACTTCTCCATAACCTCACCAAAGTCAGCAACTTGCAATTAAATTTATAGGAATAGAAAATGAATTAACTCCACTTCTTTGTAAAGTTAGCCTTGAGTAGTTCATTACGGTAATGGAAAAAAAAAAAAAAAAAAAAAAAACAGACCCATGTGTCCTAGTTCCAGTAACCAGGGAAATAAACCAGTACGAGCGGAGTTTAGTTGTGAGACCATCAGACGTGTGAGCACGAGCTAGCTGTGCATTTGGTAATGACTCTATGCTAATTTGTGTAACTCATAAAAATGTCATCAGTGTTTTAAGGGTTGCGAATTCGGTTAAGTGGGGGAATTTGAGAGGGGGCAGAATTATTCTGCATTGCTCAAGTGGGCTCAAAAATGATCATTAATTACCTCAGAAGAGAACCGGGAGAGGAGATGAGTGGGGGGGACTTAGATCATGTACATGTGGTTTCGGAAGAAGAGGTCCGAGCTCAGTCAAACGCCCTGGCATCTCTCACGGGAAGGCCTGTGACTGTGCTGATTTCTTAACATTAGATTGAGTATTATTGCTCGTTATCCTTATTAAGAAATTTAGAGAGAAACTTAATGTATGTGTAGATTTCTAGCAGACGGTATACGTTGAGTATTTAGGAAAACAGCATTTAATATCAACTGCAATAACTGTCTATAGGTTAGATTTCCACCTTATACAAAATTCTACAGTGAGGTCTGCTCACGCAAGTTCCTTCGCCAGTGGCAGACACATGCACCAACAGCAGCCTAACCTTTCCCCTGAAAACAACTAGAAAAACAGGACAAGATACAATTTTAACTTAAGTATTTGAGATCTCCCCTACCATACTCAAAATCATTATGAATCATTATGGGACTGGAGAGATGGCTCAGCAGTTGAGAGTGTATTACTTCTGCAGAGGACCCCAGCACCCAATCCGGCTGTTCACAAGTCTCTGTAACTTCAGTTCTAGAGGATGTCTGGCGCCCTCTTCTGGCCATCACAGGCACCTTGACTCACCTCACAAGCACATGCTCACACACATACACATAATAAATGTATCTATGCATCTCAGAGGTAAGTCTGGCATTTGGTGATGCTTTCTGCCATAGCATCTGTCTATTTTTAAAGGATGCTAAAGAGACTTAGAAAATAAGAGAAGGGTCTTTGGTGGACACTTAGAACAAAAAAAAAAAAAAAAAAAAAAGGGAGATAACCCCAAGAGCTGTGTGCCCATACCCCAAAGGATTGCCTTTGAGGAAATTTCCCTCAAAATTCCCTACATGAACTGATTTCCACTATAAAATTCTCTGGAGTATTAAAACCAATTCTGTACTGCCCTCCAGAAGATGGCAACGATTTCCCATAACCAGTACCTACCACATATTGAGGTCACAGCACAGAAAATATGAATAGGCTGCAGGAGGTCTTTATGGATGAAGTGGTCACATTTAAATAATTATACTAAAGAAAAACATGTTCTTAAAAACTGCAGGATATTGGATTTTGGCAGAGAACGTATCTTAGAGAAAGGGTCACTTCTTGGCTTAGATCTCCTGGATGGTTAGACTGGGTGACCAGCAAACCTCTGGGATCTGCACGTCTACCTCAAGCACTGGAAGTGGGTGTCACCACACCCAGCTTTTTATGTGCTTCTGAGAAGCAAACTCAGGACCTCCATCTTGGGCAGCAAGCTGTTATCCACTGACCTATCTATCTCCTTAGCCCCTAAAAGGTTCAGTCTTGAAGAAAATGTTTTTCCTCTGGTTCTCCGTGGCATTCTATTGGCAGCTCTTTGCTTAGCACAGTGTAAAGTTACTTGATTGTCTGCTGGCTCTCACAGTTCCTGTTGGGAAGCCAAGTGTCCATCAACTTCCTCTTGCATCTCCGAAAGGAAGGTCTTTTCCCCCATTATTGGTTACACCACCCTCTCCATACATATGTATGGATTTATTTGGATTCGGGAATTTTCTTTTTGCTAGTTTTAAAATTATGTGTCCAGGCAATACAGCGGTTATGAAAGAAGGGAGAGAACACTGAAACCAACCCACAGTGCTCAGCTTAAACTACAGCTATTAAAATGGGAGAAATAGGTGGGAGGAAACATTTTGTCTTTAATTTTTGTCTTTCATGTGGAACGAAACACCTGAGTTTCTAAATTTTTTTTTTTTTTTGAGACAAGATATCACTCCGTAGCCCAGACTAGCCTAGAACTTGAGATCCTCCTTCCTCAGACTTCAAACTCCTGTGGTTACAGACTGGTGTTTAATTTTTTTAAGAAGGTTTTTTTTGGGGGGGAGGGTGGAAATTGGTTTGTTGAAATTGAATCTCTTTCACTTTGTAGTCCTGGCAGGTTTTAAATACATTCCCGGTTTTTCTGCCTCGCCCTCCCAAATGTGATTAGACTTTGAGTCACCACGTCAGGCTGCCTGACTGTTTGATGAACTAAATCATATTTTTTAAGTCACTTGGAGAAAAAGAAAACACTTGGAAATTAACAATGGTGATCAAAATACTTCACAAATAGTTCATATAATAAAACATGTAAAAGAAAGTCAGACAAAAGAAATATGGGGGGAAATGCAGAGCTTGTAGCAGCTAAATTTGGTCAAATTTGGGGCTGCAGGGATGGCTCAGTGGTTATGAGTACATATTTGTCTCGTAGGATACCAAAGTTTGGGTTCCAGCACCCACTTCAGTGACTCACAGCCATTTCTAACTCTGACTCGAATTTAGGATGCCCCATTCTGGACTCCTGGGGCACTATACCCATATGTACATACAGACACACATATAAAAATAATTTTTAAAATGCCACAAAAGGGGCTGGAGAGATGGCTC